ACACCACCAGTGACTGCATATAAGGATGAAACTTCAGCTCCTGGGTGCTGCCATCGTTGACCCAATGTCCCCTTGGCTTGGTGCTGTGCAGCTTTTCCCTTTGGGGGTCCCATCCCCCTTTCCCTTTTCCTTAAATAAATTTGATTTTTTGCAAATCGCTGTCTGAGATGGCTATTAAGCATTCCCATGTACTGCATGTTCACCTTTCATTGGGGTTACCAAGCATGTGCAGAGAAGTTAAAGGAGAGTATAAGGAACTTTCTGTATTTTTGCTCAATTTTTTTGTAAACCTAAAAAATATCTGAAAAGTACATTTTGATTAAAAATGGAATCACAAGTAAATATCTATCTATATAAAAGCTTAAGCGACTGGCCAGTCAGCTGGTAGCTATTATGCACACTGACTACCAGGGGGCAGATGCTCGATGCAAGAACTGCTAAGTAACAGCTCCAGATGTCAGACTACTGGTTTCTACCCGATCCCCACAGGCCAGGTAGAAGGACCCCACTGCTGCATGAATCCATGCAGACCCCTAGTTAGTTAAAACAATTTATAGTTATAAATTATTATTTCTGCTTCCTATTATAAAGATGTGAATACTAAAGCCCAGATGATATTAAAAAAATACTTTTTCCACATTACCATGATTAAAATAGTAATTACTAAAAAGTGTTTTTAATTGTTACACAGCTTCATGTGATCCTCCAATACCCTTCAAATGGAATCTCTGAGTCATACAGGTGGTAAGTGTTAATGTATAAAAATGGACTTTAATGGATCTCATATGAAAGCAACAGAACCAAATGAAAGGAGAAGTTAATTGTGGGATTTGCATTAAGAAAGACTGCAATGGAACTACTTCTCAATAATATTATTTACCAGTAATTCTCATGTATATAAATATTGGTCTTCTTCTAACCTATCAGAGAGTCAAGGAATGGGGAAGGTTGTTTGATTGATAAAAGCACCAACCCAACTTTAAAACGGCAGTGTTAAAACTGTGTTTTGTTTTTGTTTTTTTCAACCACAGTTGTCAGAAACTGAACTTTTTATGTTACTGTGGTCAGAAAGCAAGAATTGCAAGAAAATGTTAACCCCTATGGACAAAAAGGAGCCACATGTTAACCTGACTGAGGGAAGGCTTGCATGGTGGTCTTACAAACTCATAGACCTAAAGTAACCCAAAGCATGGTCTGACATTAGAACCTTCTCATTAAAAAGCAGTTTATAGTGCGTAGTCATGTCCTAGGCCAGTATCTTCCCTGACAAAAATCAATGTCAATATTTACTGAGCCTATTTATTGTCTTTTTGCATCTAAGATAACATGCCTGTGAAATGTCAGGGTAACTTGTGAATTTCCTTTTTCTGGACCCATCAGGGCTTCCAGACTAGATAACAGGTTCCCGCATTATTGTGTTAATTGTTGACTGTTAACTATCCTATACCCTCCTGTGTAAAAGAAGCATGTGTCTATCATTTTACTTCTTATCCAGTCCCAGAGCCCCTCCCCCCTTTGCTTTCTCCACCTCCCTAATCAATCATAAGTGGATTTCAGGTAAGCCACTTATGTCTCCTCTTTTGCTTGTAATTTATGAAACAAGGTGAAAAACTTCCCTTCTGCAGAGCACTACCTTGATATTCTGCGTCTGGCAATTATCGACAATTTGGTTCAAATAAAATCACAAAAGTTCTTTTTAAAAAAAAAATATGCTTTTTATTTATTGATTGATTTCAGAGAGGAAGATAGAGGGGGAGAGAGATAGAAACATCATTGATTGGCTGCCTCCTGCCCCACTGGGGATTGAACCTGGGACCCTTCCATCTGCAGGTAGATGCTCTATCCACTGAGCCAAGCCAGTTAGGGCAACTCACAAAAATTCATTACAGGTTTGAATGTTGTTTTATGTTTATACCCCTAATTAAAACCTGAGACTAGAAAATGGGAGAAATGCTCCAAAGGGAAAATATAACATGGACATGGCAACACAAAACTTGTAAATATAACAGGTAAGTAATTTTGTGTCTATAACCGGTAGGAAGGTATCATTGTCCTCATTTTGAAAATGCAGGAAAGAGAAAAATGGATACTCCTGAACCTTTCCATATGTCAGCTTTTTCTACCTTTGCATTACTTTCAGTAATTTCCTATGAATTCTTTTATTTTCACATAATTTGCTTAAGGGCAGAGAGAATGTAGACTAAGTCAAAAGAAATATCCTTTGTTTTTAAAGTTGTATATGAAAGACGAATAATGATTATAACCTCAGAGTTCTAGCTCTTTACTATGTTGCTTATCCTCTCCTATCCTAAATTAAATGTATTTCTTAAGGTAGGGTTTTTGGCTCTTCATTATTTTTGTAGACATCCACCTATCCATTCACTCATTCATTAAATTTTATCAAGTGTTTTTCTTTGTCAATTTCTGTGCCAGGTTCTAGGAATACCTGATAATCTAAAGCTACACAGTTGTCTCTGCCCTAAAATATCTTCTTCTGCCTAATGTCTTGCCTGGTCATTCTAAGAAAATTATCATAAACTCCATTGCCTTCTCACAACATATGTATATGTTACGCTTATGGCATTTTCAGCATTCTGCTGTAAAGGGGAATTTCTCTAAATAATATCCTCAGTCTGATTGATGTCAGAATCATATTGGGGAGATATGGTTATTTAAGATACTACTTAAATAAATGCTTCAAGCCCACAATTCCAATTTCTGTCTTTTTATTTGTCAAAGATGCATCAGACAGAACTAAACTGTCACAGAAGGCTTTATTCAAGACTATTGCAATAAGGAAGAGAGACTGAGCTCAATTCCAATGAAATGAAAGGGCGGGCGGATTTTTAAGCTCTGGTGTGGGCAAATGCAAAAGCACTGAAGGATAAAAAGGGGAGGGATTAATCAGTGGGTTCCTTGAGCACTTTGACTTATCTTTGAGTTTACAAATGCATTTCTCTGTGATTAGATGTTTGATAATTGGCACCCATTAAAGTTAGGCTCTCAATCTCCCACAGAGACTGAGAGATAAGAGTGCTGTGTTCTTTGAAATGTACATTTCAAAGGGAAGGTTCCCATGTCCTTGAGAAAACATTTCTTGTGTTGTAAAACTGACAAGAGTATGGACAAAACTTACAAATACTTCAAAGGAACTAAGAAAGAATTGACAATTGCAAGTTTTATAAAGTAAATTTGGTAAGAAAGGTGAGGTCAGGGGCCCAGATTCAGGAAAAAATCTATCTGAAGTTCAATCAAAGCTAAGGGGAACATTGAGGTTGTCTTACTCCTATTTGTTCAGTCGACAGTTATATATTCACGGAATCAGCAAGAAAATCAATACTTCCATTTTAATACAACATGGCAATATTTGATGCCCAAATTATGTGTGAGCATTAAAGAAAAGAAGTTATTAACACTTGCCTTTTTACTGCTTCTCAATCTTTTGAATCTTAAATTCCTGAGAAAGTAGAGGGAGAGTTGAGGGGGAGGGAAGGGACTAGAGAGAAAAAGAGGGAGGAGGAGCATTGTTTGTATGAAAATTCCCACAAAGAGAAAATTTAAAAACAGTTTTACAGCTGCCTTTACTTCATATAACTCTCTTGGTGAGATAAATGTGAGCTTTTATTCAAACAAACAAGTCAAACAACACCTGTTGACAAACCAATAGGCAAGAATAGATTCTAATTTCTTTATCTAAAAGATTCTTTTGATGTCTTTCTTTTGCCCAGATCTTCTCTAAAGAAAGAGAAATGTTATCTTTTTCTCCTACTTAAGTATGTTTTGTGAGTAATGCCAGGGGTCTCTAAAAGTTTGTCCAAGTTCACTAACAAATGAAAGGGCCATAATTTTGCTTCAGAATTCAGTAGTTAAGTGCATTCTGATGCGGTGGTTAGCAGTTTTCAGTGCATTGTAATCACATGGAGGGCACCACCACTGAGAGCTATTGATTCAGTAAGTCTGAACCCTAAGAATTTGCATTTCTATGAGTTCTCAGGCGTTGTAAAGACTGATGTTTCAGGAAACATATTTTGCTCTTGGAAACTGTATTGACTCTTTTTATATAAGAGTCAGCAAATGTTGTTTGTACAGGACAAATATGTCAGCCTTTAACTGACCAAAGTGCAAAATTACAGACTTAACTAGAAGAGAAAAAACAATTTCCATAAAATTTTAATAGACAAAAATACAATTAAGTAATAATAACGGTTGTGCAGTTCTAAATTGCTGGGACAAGCACACCTATCATTGAGTTTTCCTGTGAAATTTTGCTTGAATAAAAGACTGCATGGATAAAAGAAGCTCTCTTTCTCTTAGACCTTGTTATTTATCCCTTTGCCATGTTTGCCATGAAGAGCATTAATTGCTCTACTGAGAGCACTGTTGTACTGTGTCATCTCAAGTTGTCATCTCATAGGAATTGGTTAAATCCATACACACACACACACACACACACACACACACACACACACACAACACACTCAAAAAAAAAATCGCTAAGCGACAAGATCGAAAGGATTCCCCTTTGAAAGAGAGAGAACACGCAGTTTCATTTAAGAAGGAATTAGGTTACACACAGAGATTTTGATGTGGAACAAAAGTACATATGAAGGAAACCCTGATTATCATATTAAAGTTGGGATGCGGTCACATACACACATTTAGAGAGGAAGCTGAGCAACTCAGATAAATAGCATGCATGTCTAGGTGGTAAAATGCCCATAAAGAGGTTATAAGCACAATTAGAGTACTTTTCCTTGCATAATTAATATGTTGGCCCATCTGAAATACAAAATTGAGCAATGAATAGACAAAATAGAGATGGTAGATCATTTTTATTTATGCAAATAGTGATATTTTGGGTTCAAACGGGCATTATTTCCATTAAGCACTACAAATATATTTTGTTGTTGTTGTTGTTGTTGTTTTTACCTACTTTTAAATTAAGAAAATGCACCTCTGTTCCACACTTTGATGCTCAGCAGTACTCTCTTGTCCAGAGTTTATATGCAGCACTGGTTTCTCCATCTAATGCAGTATCCGTAATCATACTCATCATAATCACAAAACGTTTTACAGAGTCCTTTCACTCTTTGGCATCTCTCAAATCTATACTTTGGTTTTTTACTCATGTCACTTCTGGCTGCAATCAAGAAAGAGAAAGACATCAGTCCAGTTTCTCATTGGGGGCTCTTCTTACTAAAGGGAAAAAAAAAATTCTGTCGTAAGTCATGAGATCATGTTTGCGAGAGATGGAGATTCTGAGATGGTTGTTTTATACCACAATTTATCACTGTTTCAGAAAATGACCAAGTCACAAACCTTGCACTTGCACAAAATGTGTAAGTCCTTATCATATATCTCACATCAGTATTGAACTTTAGCTGGCGCCTAGGGGTTCTGCCCTCAAATCTTTCTTTTCTTACTTTCTTAAGACTAGATCTTCTCTCGTATGCTTTCATTAAGATGAGGTTTATAGAACTTTAAACACATGTAATTTTCATTTGCATCTGCTCTCAGTTTTTTCATTATTATTCTTTGTAATTCTCACCTGAGAATTTTTTCCCCCCATTGATTTTTAGAGAGAGTGGAATAGAGAGGGAAAGACAGAGAAATATCAATGTGAGAGAAACACATTATTCAGTTGCCTCCTTTAAGGGCCTGACCAGAAAAGGGGAGGAGCCTGTGTTTGACCAGAATTAAAGCCAGGACCCTTCTGTCTGCAGGCTCATGCTCACTCCACTAAACCAAGCCAGTGAGGGCTGTTTTCAGTTTTTTCAAACCTACTCTTATTGCTTCTTCAAAGAACCATTTGCTCAATGCTTTCTTCTTCATTCCACATCCCACTCTAAACTGAAATATTCTTTTATTTTGCTGGAACAAATGGATATGTACCTTTCACCCAGTCTACATGCTTTAAATAAATAGCATCAGTTAGTTTTAAATTATATGTATTTTTCCTAAACATTAGTTATACTTTTATTCTTGCAGCCAAAATATAATCCCTTAAATGTTAGTTATAAGTTATTCTAACCTGTACAGCCAATAGGCATACAAAATAAAGATGGTAGATAATTTTTATTGTAACACAGTAGGCATGAAGATACTTACTGACAGAGTAATTTTTTGAGACGACTAAAGCTAGAAGCATAGAAACACAGTAATTTTTTGAGGCACTGTAGCTAGAAGCATAGAAACACAGCTTTGCTGTACATTAAGCACTTAACAAAAAGAGAATCCCCATTTTAGTTCAGTTTGTTGTGAATCATCAAGGAAATGCAAAGAAGACTGTTCTGAGATTCCAAACTGACAGCTTTGTGTTTATACAGTAAAAGGAAGTAAATGTTTTTGTTAACTTAAGATTTTATTTATCTCAGTGATTCAATTATGACCCTTGCCTTTAAATAGACTTGTAAGTCAGAATTATTTATTTCCCCCCAAATTTTATCATAGTACTTACTTATATTAAATAAGTCATTCTAACTGCCTATATGACAGAATATACATAGCCAACCCAAATATATTTTGAGCAAACATAACCAGCCCAAATTTATTTATTTATTTATTTATTTATTTATTTTTAAATATATTTTATTGATTTTTTTTTTTTTTTTTTACAGAGAGGAAGGGAGAGAGATAGAGAGCCAGAAACATTGATGAGAGAGAAACATTGACAAGCTGCCTCTTGCACACTTCCTACAGGGGATGTGCCCGCAACCAATGTACATGCCCTTGACCAGAATCGAACCCGGGACCCTTCAGTCCACAGACCGACGCTTTACCACTGAGCCAAACCGGTTTCGGCCCAAATTTATTTTTAATATTAAATTTTGAATATGTGAGAGAAATAAAGAAAAGATGTTCATTAAAATGCAGAGAATGAATTAAATTGAATTTAGATTAAAAGTATATTATGTCACCTCATAGGACCTAATTGCCAGCCTACTACCTAATTGAAATTCAGAATGGTTTCATCTTAATTTCATATGTCTGCTATTTATTTGAATACCTAAATTTCTCCAAGCATTAGGTTGGGAACTGGACAGAAACTTCAAATGGATAGAATGTAGAGAAGATTTTAAATGTACATACTTTATTATTAACGTTAATAAAGTTAGCAGAAAAGAGATGGACGTTAAGCTTAAAGTGCAAAAATTTGTCAGATGGGTTTTGACATGTAAATATATGTATCTCCTTTGGGAATGGAAAACTAATTTATGATGACAGAATCCCTGGCCACTGGTGAATTTTGGTGAAAGCTAAAGTTATGTCAGAGCCATACTTGATATAATTTAAAGTAGGGAAGAAGGTGATATATTATTTAACTAAAAAAAAAACCTAAAAAAAAAAAACCCCACCACCTTTTGCTGGGATAAGTACTTTTTAAGCTAATTAACATTCTCAAGACCCTGATATCTTGTCAACCCACCAAATCCATGTTGAGTTTTAAGATGTGCTAAATTCAGAAAACAGAAGTATGGATTTATAATGATCATTGGTAACATTAAAAATATACTAACATTCTTTTTATATTCTCATTATTTCAAATGATATAATGTTTTAAATCATAAAGAAACAAGAATTATATGATCTGGAAACAAAAAGCTTGTGTTGCAAAATAGGTTCTATCACTTCTAAGTTATTTGGAAAAATATATAAATTTGGAATCACAGCTATGTCATGTGAAAACTATAAATGTGAATATAACCTCAAAGTGTTTTTTTGTGTTTTTTTTTGAGGTTGGTTACGTAATGTTCTACCCTGTACAATGCTATTCAAATGTCACCCATGAGTATTTACGTATTATTTAAAACTAGTTGGCATATACCACATAAAAACAAAAATAAGCCCTAGCTGCTTTTGCTCAGTGGTCACAGGTTCCATTCTGGTCAAGGGCACATACTTCAGGTGCAGGCTCGATTCCCAGACCAGGTCAGTGTGCATGCAGGAGGCAACCAATTGATGTGTCTCTCTCACATGGATGTTTCTCCCTCTGTCTCCTCCCCTGCCCTTCCACTCTCTCTAAAACTCATTGGGAAAAATATCCTCTGGTGAGGATAAAAAAAAAAGAAAAAGAAAAAGAAAAAAGCCTGTTTGGAGGAAAAACATGCAGTATCTCTTTCACATACTGAAACTTCTGTACTATTTCAACATACCTGGATAAATGAGGCCTAGTTTGGGATAGTATAAGGAATATATGTTCCAGAAAGATTTCTGGGAGTCTTGGCAAGAATGAAGTGCTACAAATGTGATGGAGGTACACTGTGGACAACAACCTGGAACAAGTCCTATAAGCATATGCATAGGGACAACTCTGTTAGGAAATCAATGTTAAAAGCTCAGTGGCCCCCATATAGTTGATTCAATGTTAGTTTTCCCAGGCCTTGTGGGGAGTTCTTTGTCTTCCCAAGAGAAATCTCTGGTATATATCTCCCTATCTCTTAGAAAATTACTTAACTGCAGGTTACCTTTTTGCCAACTTCATGGTACTTCCTGCAAATAGAGGGGCAGAGTTGGATGGAGGAGAAGGTACTTTTACTGGGCCCAAGTTGAAATCAAGGTAGGAGCAAGACCATGGGCCAGTGAAAGTTTGTATGATTTGTCTGAATCTTACAGAAGCAGATGCTAGTGGGTTTCAATCCTGTATTGTCTATTTATTAGCTGTGATATATTGAACAAATTATTTGGTTCACTCTATGTCACCTTCCTTTTGAAATTGAGGTTTTTGTGAAGTCCTAATACTATAATGAGAAAGTATGTAAACTTTGGTGTATGTAAAATATGGTGTTAAAAAACTAATAAGCCTTCAAAATTAGGTTATTTGCATATCCTTTGTTTTTAATTTCCTTTGGGAGTCCTACTTAAAACTGACCCCAGGTAAGGCACTGCTATTCGAGGTTATGACCTGCCCTAGTGGAAGCACAATCCTCAAGTCCTAAAACACTAGATAAGGTCAGCTGTCTGCCTTGTTCCCTGATCTATTATTATTTAAGCAGGTAGCAAAATGCTTGAAACAACATACTGAACAAATGTGCAAATAACTGACCACATGACCCGAATGAATATGTTATCATGGATAAGGATGTAAGTGGTGTTATATATTTTAAAAATCTCTCTGATCTTTATTACAGTCTCTCCATCATTTATTCCCCATATCAACTGAGTCAAGGACTAAACCCCTATACTAGCTTCTTCAACTGTAAGCCCTGTTTAATAATAAATGCCTATTTCATAGGGTTAGGTGGCATCTAATGAGCTAATAGATATGAAAATCATCCCTAACCTACAATTAGTCAAGTAAGGTTACATTGGCATCAGTATGAGTGATTCATAGATTCATAACAGATTTTTACAAATAACCCTTTACTAGCTCACTGATTTTTCTTCATTTTTACTTTGAAATGAAGAAAGAGTGCCTTCTCTTGTGACCTCTACAGCACGCTTTGTTAAGCAGCTGTGTTGTACTTGGCCTTGTGCTGAAAATGGATGCAGAATGAATGGAATAACTTAACACCTTACCCTCAAAAGGCAGTCGATGTTTGTTGGTGATGATGATATAGAAATGGAAACAATATAATATCACTTGTGAAGACAGTTCTGGAATATAAATAAAATGTCCTTGCAGCATATAATAAGGAGGTATAAATCCTTCCTGGAAAAGGCTTTTTTACTATTACTACTACTCCAGCTATTGCTACCCCTGCCAGTTATTAACAGGTATGCTTTATTAAGTGTTCACTAGGCTTCAGGTTCTTTACTAAGACACTTATACTTATTACCTGATATAATGCTCTAACAATTGTATAAGATAGGAACACTATTCTTATTTCACCCATAAGAACACCTGAATTTAAGACTGCACAAGATTTCAGAGGAAATAGAAGAGGAGGGAGGATTAACAGTTAGTCATGTAGGACTCTGAACTCCTGAGTATTCTGTCAGTGAAGATGTGACTTATGGTTGCATCTCAAAAAGCCGATAGCATGTTTTCATGAAATTGAGGAGCAACCTAAACATCGATATGGTATTTTGAAAGAATTTGTGATGGATGAAGAATGGTGTGGCTTTTAGCACAACTGAAGTGATATGGACATGGGTCTCAGAAAAAAAAAAAAAGCAGCCGGGACCGGTTTGGCTCAATGG